ATTAACAAAAGTTAGCTTAGAGATTTACACCTAAGTACTTATGTCTTTGCCAAGTGTTCAACAGCAAGTTTCTAGAGAATTTAAATAGATGTTTACATGTGTTTAATAAATAAGGTATTTGATAGATGCTAAAGCTGCACCTCAATGCTTTTATACACAAGAATGTGCCTTGCTGTGGCAGGTAAACTTTGTAATTTAAGTGTCACCCAGGTGATAAGTAATAATGGTTTTAAAGACATGAAGGGATCACAGGGAACAGCTGAGGTTTGCAAATGTACGGCAGGGCTAGAGCTCCAAAGAGAGTCTTATTGCAACGGTGGACCTTAGCAGTTTTGGAAATGGGCCAGGTGATAGTCACCAGAAGCACCAGTCACAATGAAATGGAGCAGGCAGGCTATGTATGTGCTGCCAAGGGTAGGGCCAAAGAAATGATCCAAGCCTCTAAATAAAAGAATCAAAAGAATTGCGAATGAATCCCAGGTATTGAACTTTGGGATTGTTTGCATTTTGGAGCTTGGTTTTGCCTTATACAGATTGTGGTGATGCCATGTTTTCTCCCTCTTACAGTAAAGAGGGTACTTCATTTTTGATATTTCAAGAAGACATTTGAGAGATTTTAAACCTTTTTTAAAAAGTTTTTTAAAATATTTAAATTTATAAGGCTATGGGACATTTTAAGTTTATAAAATGTTCTATATTGTTAATATTTGGACTTAAAAGCTAAAAATTAGAGTCACAGCCATAAACACCAAATACTAACCAGAAATCGAGATGTTCATTTCTAGTGATGCAGCAAGATAATGACCTAAGCAGTCTGGCAAAGGGCTTGGAACAGCCTCTGACTCCAAAGAGTCTCGAACCTTTGGGGGGAAGGTTAAAAAACCTTTTTACAGGGGTAGCCTAGGACCACCTGTATGTAAGATGTTTGACTTGAGATTCATAACAATGGCAAAACTGCAGTTATGAAATAGCAATGGGTAAATTTTGTAATAGGTGGCTATCACAACATGGGGAACTATATTGAAAGGTCAAAGCATTGGGAAAGCTGAGAACCAGTGGCTTGGAGGATGTTTCTCCGTACTCAAGGTCTATTCAGGCTTAAGAATGTATGTCTAGCCTTTTTGTCTTTGCTAAATTTATTAAGCTTAAGGTATTTGGATAAACCAAGTCATATAAATGTTTTATTTTGATACTAGAAGGAGCTTCATTTGAGAAATTGTTTTTTTAGGGCTCATACTTAACAGAAATAAAACTACTAAGTCCTTTTCCCAAAGTCAGGCATTTCGATAAAGCTCCCATTCCCTCAGGGGTTTGGAAAAAGTTTCTGATTGCATAAAAAGGAGTCACCCTCCTTATCTTTGGTAAGAGGAATTTATGGCCCTTCCATTAACATACAGCTATTTTGTTTTGGTTTCTTTGCTGAACCCACATTTGATACTAGAAGAGCTTTAATTCAAAATCATTGTTTTTAAGGCTGATTGTAGACTGTTAGAGAACACACGTAAACAGTCAGTCATCTTATAAATAATCAAGTTCTTTAATTCTAGTCATGCTAAGTACTAATGTAATTAGTTATAGGGATAAACTTTACTTAGTCCCTTGTATATGTTTTCAGGGTTGAGCTTGAAACAAGTAACTAGAAACAAAGTTTGTCTATTCAGATATACCTGGACAGCTCTCAAATACAAAAGAGATCTGCAGAATATGGCATTTAAAATGTTGATCTAAAAGCTTATTATATCAGATAGACTTCTAGATCCTAGCAGTGATCCAAGGTCTCCAAAGAAGATTATATATGGGGTACCACAATGTCTCTGCCTGGATTATGGCAACACTGACCACAAGGCAAGATGCCCCAATGCAACACCTGCTGCCAGGACCCGGCCAGACTGTGGACAAACAGCAGGACACTGGAAAATTGATTGCAGCCCTTTTGCCTGGACAAAGTAAGATTAGTTTTCCCCATGCCTCCCTTCCATAGGAAAAACTCTCCTTATGGGCTTGGTGGCTGAAGATTGATGCTGTTCTGATACTTCTGCCTCCAACACTATGGAGAGCTGGATATGGACTGGTCCCTGTCACTTTTTTCACCCCCCCACACCAGTCCCTGTCATTTTTAATAGATTCAGAAGCTGCTTGGTCTGCACTCAGGTGTAATTTATCCTTCTCAGATCTCTGATAGTATTGATGGCTAGGCTACCTATAACTTTGTCAGCTTGGCAGCATCAGACAACCAGATCCTTCTGCAAGGCTATAGCCAGCTTGTTAGCTCATTTTTAAGAAAATGTTCTAAGATATAAAAGTTTAAATAAGTCATAAAGGTTTAAAGATGGGTCTAAAAGAGGTCTGAGGGTATGAAAGTCTATGCAAGTTTTGAGGGTCTAAGAATGCTTTAAGATATATAAAGTTCTGAGGATATGAAAGCTTATAAGTTTTGAGGATCTCAGAAAATTATTTAAGATATAAATGCAAGTTGTGAATATATAAATAAATGACTTAAATTATAAAAAATGTTTTGGATTCCTTTCCCCTTTTATGTTATAAAATTTCAGAGCTTAAAATTTAATAGAGCAGTGACTACCTACTGTTCCATCATAAGCTCAACATTTTATATTTATTTTGATTGTCAAATAAATAAAAACTTAAAAGTACTTTTCATCAGGCCAAAAAAAAATCTCTGTCCAATTTATACTTGGCTCTCTGGACAGAAACAAAATGCATGTGCTTTTAACCCAAATCTTTAGTTTTTGCTAGGACTCATAAAATGTATGAGTCCACTTCTGCTGTTTTACAGATACCCATTACCTGCTTTGTCTATGATATAGATTTCAGTACAGATTGGTAATACTAATGTATCTAAAACTTTCATGTCATTTTTTTGTTTTTGTTTTTTTGAGACAGGGTTTCTCTGTGTAGTTTTGGTGCCTGTCCTGGATCTTACTCTGTAGACCAGGCTGGTTTCAGACTTACAGAGATCCACCTGGCTCTGCCTCCCGAGTGCTGGGATTAAAGGTGTGTGCCACCACTGCCCGGCTCATGTCATTTTATAAGATATTCCATATAGGCCTCAGAGGATTAAAAGAGTCATAAAACTTGGATCCACGTCAGAGGTTGGAAGGACTCCACATAGGTACAGCTTAAATTTTCCCCACTTGTTTATTCCTAAGGATGGTGTTTTTTCTCTCTCCTGGTTTTGAGACTCCTGCCCTTCCCAATTACTAAGACTATGGGCCTAAAAGCTTCAAATAAGTTCATGAATTTTAACTTCTGTTCCTGGTTTAAGTTTGTCTCAACAGACTTCTACTTGGCTGGCAGACACCTTCAAGCTTCAGTTGCTGACTACACTGCTCCAAACAACTATGAGCTCTGGACTTGCTAAAAGCTGTCGTGGACCAGCCCAGCCAATCTGATTGTTCACTGTCTCTACAGCTGAGTCAGATAGACACATGCTTCTGACAGATGCCCCATTGCCCAGCCTTTGACTAGCCTCTCAGCCTTTGGGGGCCCTGACAATGGTGCCCCAGTGTCACCTTGAAGCAGTTCCAGAAGAAAATATGTCATCCCATGTTCCCTGCCCAAAATAGATTGAAATGCTGGGTCAAAAGGAAACTCTCTGGCATAGGGGACAAAATGGCTAACTATAATGCCCATTGACATACCAAGAAGATAGGTTCAGAGTTGTCAACTGATAAATTTATTAACTAAAATGGTTCTGCAATAAGATAAGACACTTGGCCTTCTTTGTGCAGAATCAAAGAGGTATTATATGGCCTTAAAAATTATTATTTCTATATGAATCATTCAGGATTATAATCTGGTTGTACTCAAAGATCAGAACAGGCTTTAAGAATGGCAATAGATACAGATGTTGCTGCCCTAGAAAAATCAGTTAGCTAATGGTTCTTAGGTCCCAATACCCTTGAGCCCCTGGACAGTTAGGACTCATGGTAGAGTCCCGTCATTGGTACTTGTGAAGGAGGGAATGTGGGGGGCTCAAAACAGCTTGACCACACAGCTGCCATGACAGGCTTAGAGGCCCAGACATAGCTTCTGTGACAGGATTACTGGCAGGCAACACCCAGACCCGGGAAAAACCATAAGCTGACCCCACCCATGGAGGGCTAGCATCTAAGGAGAAATAACTGACATTCCAAACATTCCCTATACCCCTAGACAAATGTCAGCCAATCAAGGTCCTGAACCCTGGAGATTCCCTCACCCCAGCCTCTGTTATGATAAAAACCTACCTTGGTCTTTTGGGGGTCCCTGTGATCTGGGCATAACAAAAGCTTGCTTCAAATCTGGCTTTAAACTATGGTAGTGGTCTTATTCTCGCCATTGGGATTGACGTTACACCACCAAGTTCCAGTTACCAAAGTATTGAAGTCCAGCAATCCAAAGCCCCCTTTGGCTCATCTAATTAACATGCCCAGTTAAAATTAAACATCTCATCCTACCACATCTGTCTCCTCTCTATCCAGAGGCGGTCCTTTATCCCTCCAGGACAAATACCCCTGCCCCTCCTCCCTTCCCTCCTCCCTCATCTCCATCTCCTGTCTTGTCTCTTATTCCCTGCCCTCTGTCCCTCTTGGTGAATAAATCTCCTTTGTGCTGAGAACTTGGTCTTGGGGGTCCTGAGCCGATATCAATTTCTTACAGAAATAGTTGTGTAAAATGCTAAAACATGCATATAGGTGTAAGTACTCCTGCGGCTGAAAACTGACTGGTAGAAAGGGGAGTGGAAAGGAAGTCATGAAGTTGCTCTAGTCTGTCCTCCCTGTCCTGGACACTAGACTCTATTGTCCTTAAGTCTGGTTTTGGGGCCCTGAGCTGACCCATCAGGAGTTGGCCACTGACCACTTACCCTTTCTATATATTGACTGTCCCCATTCTCTTTACACCCCGTTTCAGGGCCTTGAGTTAGCCCACCCATTGTTCTTTATGCCCTATTTTTGGGGGGTCTGTTAGAGTTCCTCAAGGACCTAGTTTCTTGTCTACGAAATAGGAAACATGGCCATGGGAGATTTCAGTGACTGATAAATTCAACACACAACAGCAAATCCAGGACAGTTTCTGGACAAAATGTGTATCCTTTAATGATAACGCTAAACTTCCATGCTGGGCAGACAGCTGACTCCTGACTGTCTTGCCTGCTTGCACACTGTCTGCTTCTGGCCTTCTTCAGTTTGACCCCTCCCCTCCATGCTTCTGTTTTGAACTCTGACTTCTTATCCTCCAGGTTTGTTTCCCCCGCTAGGCCAGAGAAGACAGCAAAAATGGTGAGAAAGTCCTGCAGGTACAGGGGTTATTTTGCAGCAGAGGACAGGTTGGCTGCAGCAGCCTGAGAGGTAGCGTGGGGGCTCAGATCTGCTGGAGGCTTGCTAGAGTTAATAAAGGACTGGATGCCTTCTCTGGAGGTTGGGGGTCTGTGGGAGCGCTAAGAATGTAATGGCTTTTCCTGCCAAACAGAAGCCCACTTTTCAAGGTTTCTGAGGAATGCGGAGTATTTACCGGGTCAGAGTCCAGCCTGAGTTGAGCCCAGATTGCCATCTCAGGGGTGTGTGTGTGTGTGTGTGTGTGTGTGTGTGTGTGTGTGTGTGTGTGTGTGTGTGTATAAGCAGCTGACCCTGGGAGGGGTTGATTCATTCAGTCCAGCCATCCACACAGCTACTGTGGGTCAGAAACAGGGGACAAATAAGTTCCAGAGGAGAGGAGAGGCCCTCCGGCATAAGCTGCTTCTGAGAGAAGGTACCAGGCTGGGGGCTGGCAGGGAGGGTCCTGGCTCTCGATAAAAACAACTCTATTACAACTTGGATGACTCTGTGAAGCTAGCTGGGCCAGCAGATCAGTGAGCCTGAGCTTCATGCTGGTCCATTCTAGATGCTGAACAGTGGCCCTCCGTTAGTCCCTCCCCGTCTTGTTCTGTCTCTGCTTTCATTCCGCTCTCCCAGCAAGGCCTCAAGTCTCCGCCTCCATTCCTGCTGTGCTCCTAATCCACAGAGTCACAGCTCACAGCGCTGGAGTGATTGGGCAGAGATCAGGCTAGCTCTCCGGGGGCCTGGGAATCTCACCTGTGTTCATCTGCCCTGCAGGATGCAGTCGTGGAACCTGCCCTGGCTGGGCCTGGGCCCAGTGCTGGCCTCCTCATGGCATCTTCTGCTGCTCTTCGGGGCTTCTTGGCTCGTGGCGAGAATTCTGGCCTGGGCTTACTCCTTCTATGAGAAATGCGCCCGCCTCAGATGCTTCCCTCAGGCCCCTAAGCGGAACTGGTTTTTGGGTCATTTGGGCACGGTGAGAGTGTCAGGAGGAGGGGGGATATAGGATAATAAACAGACATGAAGAATGGGGATCGGGGTGGGTGGGGGGCAGGAAAAGGCTGGGGTGTAGGACAGCAGTGAGGTGAGGGAGCCCCTCTCTCCTCACTGTGCCAGCCCATCCACTTCTGGCACCTCACACTCCTATGCTCTGAAGCCTTCTTTTTTTTTTTTTTTTCTTTCCCGCTCCAAGCCTGCTTTGCATCACGTTCCCACCGGGAGTCATGTCATGGTCTGAGGTCTCTTGCCCTTATCTGCGCATGTCTGTCCTACTCAGGCGCTCCCAGAGTGGACTGCACAGGGCGGGGACATCCCCGATCCCTTCAGTTTCTGCTGTTGGATTTGAGGTCTCCCTGTAGCATGTCCGAAGTCTGGGCCCTCCTTGACCCATCTCTGTTGGTCTCAGGCCAGTGTCTGTACCTCTCTGGGCGGTTGCTTGGCTATTGAAATGCTCTGGCTTCCCGACCTCCACCTACAGGGGCTCCGTGGGGCAGGAGAGAGATGTGTGCACTGTCACTCCTCCAGCTGCTTGGACTTCGTCCTCTCGTATTTTGTCATCTGCTCTCAAGGTTTACCAGCTGACTCTAATGTCCATTTTGGGTCAAAGTTTAGGAGTTTTTAACATCTGTAGTGCCAGAGTATAACACCCAGTGTCTTGTGTGTGCCAGGGACACACTCTATCACAGCATCACAGCCCAGACGGACCGTTTCCTTTTTTATTAGGGACCTCTCTGGCCTCTCACACAGGCCTAGATCCTGAGAGAGGCTCCAACTCAGCACCCTCCCATCACCCCCAGTGCCTCTTGCTCTATGCTGCGCTGGCTCCCTATTGCTAGAGCCACGCCTTGCGTTTCTATGGATGTCACCTGCCAGGCTCCACCGCCAATGCCATTGTCACCACAGCTCTCTCCTTCCAGCTTCTCTTCTCACCTCCTCTCATCACTGTCCCCTCAGGATCCCCTCCTTCTCTACAATGCAGCAGTCTCCTTCCAGTCCCTCCCTCACCACATTAGCTCAGACTCCCATCATCACTGAAGTTCTTGCCGATTAGGTTTTCTTTCATAGACATATGTAAAACTTCACCTTTGATGAACTCACCCATCCATGTTTTCTGATATGTTTTTCACAGGTGACATCTTCGCTCCCATCCGTCTGCCTCCAGTATGATTCCTTCTGTACTAACCCTCCTGACTGCTTGCCCTGCAATCCCACGAGTCATTTCATTCTCTGCCTGCTTTCCCCTGCCTGCTCCTTGTCCCCTCGACTTTGTGATTGTCAGGTCATGAATCCCACCTCATCCATCCCTCCACAGCGATCTGCTGTGCCAAGGTCCTCTCTTTCCAGGGAGATCATCACAGGCTTCAGGATGACACCCTCATTCACTTGTCTCCCCAGCTCTCCGTCATCGTCGTCGTCTTTCTGTGTCTTCTCCTGACATCACACAGTCCCCCTGCCAGTCTCCTCTCATTCCTGTCTTCTTCCCCCCACCCCCCCCAAAGCTGCCTTCTGACCTCAAGGTCCAGCTCCTGAGCTGCCCATCAGTTCCCCTCTTAGAGGACTTCCAAGTTCACATCCCTCCTGAGCAGGGAACCAAGAGTTGAAAACCTTCAAGATTCTTTGCTGTGAAACTGGGAAGATGCCTGCCCAGAGCTGGTGTTAGTGGGCTGTGCTCTGGTTCAGGGACGAGAGAGACAGAGAGAGACAGACAGAGAGAGAGAGACAGAGACAGAGACAGAGACAGAGACAGAGAGTTGAGTGGAATAAAATTAGCTGTGAGTTTACTCCTAATGGGAAGGATGGAGGAAGTGGGGGGTAAAAAATAAAGATGAATTAGAAGTTGGAGATGAGAAGAATCCTATGGGAGGAATCCCATAGAGACAAAGGGAGATACACACACACACACACACACACACACACACACAGAGACAGAAAGAGACAGAGACAGACAGAGACAGAGAGAGCAGAGGCGGAGGGAAAGGACAAGGAGGGAAGAGAGCATGTTCCAGTTTGTTTCTCTGTTGCTGTGATATAGTACCATGACCAAAAGCAACACGGAAGCCATGGAGGAATGCTGCTTACCAGCTTGTTCTCTAAGCTCATGTTTAAGCGCCTTTCTTACACCTCTCAGGACCATCTGTCAAATCTATCTATCTATCTATCTATCTATCTATCTATCTATCTATCTATCTATCTATCTATCTATCATTTATCTACTATCATTCTTGGTCCATGTATATTAATCTATACATCTGTGTATCATTTATCCTATGTATATATGCATGCATGTATGTATTTATTCATTCACCCATCTAGTGATTCATCCACCCACTATCCATATTTAGATCACAAAATAGAGAGATGAGGAAAGAGACACATCAGAGAAAGGTATGTAGATAGAAACATGGATACACTAAGAAACACATATAGTGAACCCTGGTTGACTTAGTAAGAATCAAAGATGAATAATCTAAGTAGGAGGGTAAGAAGGGAGAGGTGTGGTGGGCACAGAGGAGGAGCATCTGATACACCTGCCAGGACTAGCCTCGGCTTTCTTCATCCTCAGATCCAGAACAATGAGGAAGGCATGCAGCTGGTGACTGAAATGGGCAAGACCTTCCGAGATGTCCAACTCTGTTGGCTGGGACCTGTCATCCCTGTGCTGAAGTTTGTTGACCCTGCATTTATTGCCCCCCTGCTCCATGCCCCAGGTACCTCTCCCAGCATCCCAATCTTTGGCCTCTTCTCTGGTTTTCATCTTGACTGGAGATGTGGCTCAGTGGTAGAACACTTGCCTACCAAGAACAAAGCCTTAGGTTCCATCCCTAGAACTAGAAAGAAGACCCTCTTTTATGAATGTTTATGTTTGTGCATATGCATATGTGGGTCCACATGCACGTGTCTATGTATGTGTATGCATGTGCACATGTATGTGGAGGATGGAGGACAACCCTTCTTGTCACTTCTAGGACCACTGTCAATCTTGTCCCTCACAGGCTGCAGCTCACTAGTTAAGCTAGACTTGCTATCCAGTAAACCCCAGGGATCCTCCTTGTTTCTCCTTCCCAGCAGTGACACCTCCCTGCTGGCATTTTTACATGAGCTCTTGGGATGAAACTTGTGTTCTTAATGCTTGCAAAGCAAGTATTTTACTGATTGAGCTATCTCGTCATCCACAAGAGTTATGTCCACCAGAGGGGTCTTTAGGTACAGTTGAGTCTAGATACCTTACAGTGCACTCAGGAATCTGCATCTCCTAGTTCTAGTTTCCTCTTTGAGGACCTTAACTTCTTGCTGGGAAAGATGGCTTCTAGTCATTCAACCACCAGGGAACATTCTGTGGTTCTAGATAAAGTTATAGATAACCTTCTATGTTTCCTCTGCTTAGTTCAACGAGTCTTGGCTGCCCCAGCCACCTTCGATAGGAGGGACCCCAAGCTGAAGATGATTTGTGACAGAAGTGGTATGCAGAGTACTGCAGGGACTGTCCACTAGAGTCCAGATGGGTCAGTTCTGTCTGCTTGGCTCTGGGGCTGCTTGATGGCTGGAGAGGGCAGAGGCAACTCTTCCCAGTGGGCACATGGCTCCAAGAATAGAGTTGCCCTGAACTCTGAACAGTTAATGCTTAGTGTGGCATAGAGGAGAGAACTGGAGGGGTCTGGGACCTATCCAGGTCACATTTGGGACTCAAAAGGGACCACATTTCAGTGCCAATCTGGGATTATCTGAAGGGCACAATTAGGTGATGCCAGACTGTTACACACCCATGTTGTGTCACATCAGGGAATGTCATGTGTGCTGTGTTTATGGCAGGTCATGATAACATGTGCCCCTGTCATATATACCAGGATGTGTTGGGACGTGTCAGAGAGCTGCAATTGACAGTGTGTCCTAGGTCTTTGCAGAGGCCTGTAGAGTGCTGTGCTGCTCAGATGTGGAAGACCCAGTGGACCATGCAGCAGCCATGTGAAGGCATGCTGGGGCATGTTTGTTCCCTGCCAGACTGAGCTTTGCTCTCTCTTGTAAATGAAATTCTAAATGGTCTTATTAAATAAGAAACACAGAGCCAAATAAAGATTTAAAAGCCCAGAGATCGAGCAGTAGCCAAGAGCTAAGACCACCTTATCTTACCACTTGCTGCTGTCCTTCCCCTGAGAGAGAGACCTACTTTCTGTGTCCTGTCTTTTTACTGCCTTTCTGTTCTGCCTTCTCAATGGTTCTAAACCCAACCACATGACTTCCTTGTCATTGCCTGTCTATACAGACCTCCAGGTCTCTGTGGTTGATACTGGGATTAAAGGCTTGTGTCACCATGCAGGCTGTGTCCTTGAGCACACAGAGACTTTGCCTGTCATGTGATTGGATTAAGGGCATGTGCTACCACTACCAGACTTTTGCTAAATGGCTTGCTCTTAGCTCTGATCCCCAGGTAACTTTATTTATTAACATATAAATAAAATCACATTTCAGCACAAATAAAATATCACCATACTCTCTTGCTGCAGACTGGTCTGGTCTTGTCTCACCTCCTTCCTCTTCCCTGCTGTCTTTGTCCTGGTTCCTTTCCTACCTCCCTGTGTTTGGAGGGGAAGTGGGCAGCCCTGGGGCTGGGAGTCCCCACCCCTCCCAAAGTCCACCTTTCACCCTTTCCATGGCCCTTGATTGTCTTCCTTCATGGCAGCTTTGGTGGCCCCCAAGGACATGACTTTCTATGGCTTCCTGAAGCCCTGGCTGGGTGAGTAACTCAAGGTGAGGGTCGGGGGACACCTTGGGGGGCAGAAGAAGGTTCCACCTTTGCTTACTACTGTGCTTTCCCTCCCAGGGGATGGGCTCTTTCTGAGTTCTGGTGACAAGTGGAGCCGCCATCGCCGTCTGCTGACGCCCGCCTTCCACTTTGACATCCTGAAGCCCTATGTGAAGATTTTTAACAAGAGTGTGAACATCATGCACGTGAGTTCTTTAAACTCAGGGTCCCATGTAGATACTTGCAGAACAGAGAGTGGCTTCAGATAGATGTGGTCTGAAGATTGTCCACATCTGAAGATGTGTTTCTGCTGCGTGGTCTTGGGGACATCAGTTTTCATCTCCAAGCCTCAGTTTCTCCATATTTAAAATGTGAATAATAACAACTTAAGACATGGTCAGAATAACACCATGGAGCTATGCTCCTAGCATGTAGACAACACTCACAGAAGACCAGTATCTACTATCTCTTACAGAAGTTCTGGAAAGCCAACATGTTAATGTTGAGTATCACATAGTATGTCTTTTTTGCTTAGTACATCTGTCTCGGTTTACTGGCTTAAAGCTGGACGTGGTGATGTGCAGTTGTATTTCCGGCACTGAGGGAACTGAGGCAGAGGAATTGTGAGTTCAAGGTCAGTCAAGTCTTGAGTATAATTTAGTTCCAGCTAGCTATCCTAGCATGAGCAAGGCCCTGGTTTATATCATCAGTATTGAGAAAAACACACTTTAAAACTGGTCCTGGTAGGCCAGCCAGGCCTTCCCCTTCATCCCTTATCATCCTTAGGGAATCATTGCTTTGCTAGAATGGAGATAGTGTTTCCAAGATGGGGAAGGCAGAACGTTCCATGGCTTTCCAAGCCACATTTCATCCCCAGCAGCATAGAGTCTTTTTCACAACGCTTTTTAGGTAAGAACAAGTTCCCAATTCAGTTCAGATTGAAGACCTGGGAAGATGGACCCCACTTCCCAATAGAACTACTCTCCAAATTTCATTGCAAAAACTGATGATAGAAGAATTATGAATACTTAGGGCCATTTCTACAGTCACTTACTACTGTGCTAATGACAGTGATAACTACTGCTAACATTTATTGAGCATCTACTGTATGCCAGTTCTGGGATCTATGTTGTCTGTTGTAATTTCTGGACAGCTCTGAGGCAGAGGCAACTATGACAGTTACATTATAGATGGTGAATCTGAGGGTCATAGAGATCAGGGAGAGCTTCCAAGCACACCAGCCGTAAGAGTGTGAGTGGTAGAGCAGACATTGAAGTATGGCTTAGGGGGCAACAAATAAGTTCAAATTTGAAGGCTCGATTACTTGCGCCTGGAGAGGGCGGTGGCCTGACCAAGGACACACAGAAGTTGGTAGAGTTAACTGAAAGCTCTTGATTTCTAACTCTGCATCTTCATTTTCTACAGTCCCACCTTCTGTTCCCATCCAAGTCTGGCTTCTCTGGGGTCAGGTAGAACCTAAGGCAGAGGACCATGAAGCTGGTTCTAGCAGAGAGGTCTCTCCTGATGTTTCGGCTTGGGCAGGGGTTCAGGAGCCAAGGCTTAGCCCCATCCTTGTCTCCCTCTCTAAAGGCGAAGTGGAAGCATCTGGCTGTAGAAGGCAGCATCCGTCTGGAAATGTTTGAGAACATCAGCCTCATGACCTTGGACAGTCTGCAGAAATGCCTCTTTGGCTTTGACAGCAACTGTCAAGAGTGAGTCCCTGTCCTGGGTCAGAAACCCGAGCCATGGATCAAGAGAGAAGGTTGGGGAGGAGGGGCCGGCAAGAGGGAGCAGAGGGGACTCGGGGGAGGTGGGCGAGAACTGTCAGGGAAGGACAGGGAGGAGAGTGAGTGGTCCTTCCAGACTCTCAGCTTGGTAAAGGCAAGGAGGTGCAGATGAGTCGTACATGAAACAGGCAACGAAGCGGTACCTCGGGAACAAGGTTGGAGGATGCATTCAACTTGCTTTTGTGACAAGATGTCTAAGCAAAACATGTTCAGAAGGAAAGACATATTTTGTCCACTGGTTTCAGTCCATCATGGTGGGAATGACAGAGCAAAGCAGCTCCCGCCATGATGGCTGAGGAGTACAGAGAGAACATGTCTGTGCCAGCAAGCTTTCTCCTTCCCCTCTCAAACAGAGATTGGAGGCTGTCCACATGGAGAGAAGGTGTTTACGTCCTCTAGAAACACGCTCACACGGGCGGTGGTAGCGCATGCCTTTAATCCCAGCACTCAGGAGGCAGAGGCAGGTGAATCTCTGTGAGTTCGAGGCCAGCCTGGACTACAGAGTGAGTTCCAGGAAAGGCACAAAGCTACACAGAGAAATTCTGTCTCAAAAAACCAAAAAAAAAAAAAAAAAAAAAAAAAGAAACACCCTCCCCCTACATGCAGATGCGTGTTTGACTAATCTTGACGATGCTTCTCAATCTTACCTAGATTACCAAGATAGCCATCACAGATAGTTCTAAAGTGCACAGACCTTTTCTTTCCTAACCTCCTCTCTCTTCTCCCCCTCTCCCTTCTCCTTTGCCTATCCTTCCCTCCTTTAACTTTTCCTTTCTTGACAGTATCTCAGTCTGTAGTTAGTCTGGGCTGGAACTCACTATGCAGATGAAATTGGACTTGAGCTTCTGATCCTCCTGCATCCACCTCCTGTGTGTTGGGATCATAGCCAGGAGCCAGCACGTCCAGCTGGTGGCCAGATCTTAAAGACGTTGCCTAGCCAGAAGGGTGTGAACTCCATCCTGAGTTTCCCAGGTCATAAGAGAAGGTTCTGTACAGGGGGGAGTCCTAGTCACAGTGAGCTTAGGCAACCTAATCAATAGAGGAGCTTCATAGAGATATTCATAGAGATACAGGGTGCAAGGAACCAGGAGAGGAGGGTCTGAGCCTGGGCAGAGTCACAAGAAGCCAAAGGAGAAGAGCAGGAGCAGATGCTGGGTGAACTAGAAGAAGAAATGATGTCCACTTATGCCCTGGATTCCTGGGTCAGGAACTACTTGTAGAGAGCAGGAAACAGAATTTGTGCTTTGTGGATGCCCTTTTCAGGATGGACCCTGGTCCTTGGACTCTCTGGCTGGAGGTTCTCTGGGGTTTTGTGTGTGCTAAGTTGCTTCCTCTCTCTGGCCTGACCTGCAGGTCTCCCAGTGAATACATTGCTGCCATATTGGAGCTCAGCGCCCTGGTAGCAAAAAAGTACCAGCAGGTCTTCTTGTACATGGACTTCTTGTACTATCTCACTGCTGATGGGCGGCGCTTCCACAAAGCCTGTGATCTGGTGCACAACTTCACAGATGCTGTCATCAAGGAGAGACGCCGCACCCTCAATAGCCAGGGTGTTGATGAATTCGTGAAGGCCAAGGCTAAGTCCAAGACTTTGGACTTCATTGATGTGCTCTTGATGGCCAAGGTGGGCCTGTGGGTTACAGGAACATTATTGTTAGATAGAAAATGTTGCAGTTGCACAAAAGGATGCTGAAGAGCCTTCGATGGTACTTGTAAAAATGAAGGCCAGGTTAGAAAGAAGTTCAAGAGAAGTGCTTCTGTTGAATGCTGTGTGGAAGGAGCAAACAACATTAGGAAACCAAGGAGGAAAGTGTGGGGCGGGCTCTGGGGGAGACAAGGTGGGGTGCTGTGAGTACAAAGGCTATCAGAGCTGGCTCAGATCAGGCTCAGCAGCCCTCAGACATGGTAAGCAATGAGGGTCTCATTTTGTCTTCAGGATGAACATGGAAAGGAGCTGTGTGATGAGGACATCCGGGCAGAGGCTGACACCTTCATGTTTGGAGGTGAGGGTCCCTGTACAGTCACAGAGGAGGCAGGGGTCAGTCAATCCAAGGGCCTCAGAGAGGAGACTCCATTATACTCATGGTTTCTTGTGAGTCTGCACCGAGCCTAGATACATGTCTCCGGACTCCTTTCATCTAGTGTCTATGTCTACTCATCCACCTCTTTCTATCCTCCCGGGGGCTTTAATACTTAAGCACTGTAGTGCTGAGCAGGCCAGAGATCTAAGTTTGCCTGTCTGTCCCTCAGGCCATGACATCACAGCCAGTGCACTCTCCTGGATCCTGTACAACCTGGCGAGACACCCGGAATACCAGGAGCGCTGCCGGCAGGAGGTGCGGGAGCTTCTGAGGGACCGTGAGCCTGAGGAGATTGAATGGTGAGCATTCTGGTTTCTACAGCTGTTATTATAGCTGTAAGGGGAAGTTGGGCTTATGAAGAGAGGGGCAGTTCCCATGAGTGAGAGAGAATAAACAAGATCCAAAGACCTGGAATTTCTAGCATCCCAGAAATTCAGGGAGGATCGATTTGAGGAGGCACAGGCTGGCCACAGTGGGTCATCACCCAAAGGACAGAGGCTGATGTGAGCTCTCAGTCCAGAAAGACAGGTGGTTGCCTGGTACCAGGGCTTGCGGGTGGGGCCAAGAGGTGAGAAACCACAGTCAAGAGTTGAGGCCTCGGGCTGGAGAGATGGCTCAGAGGTTAAGAACACTGGCTGTTCTTTCAGAGGTCCTGAGTTCAATTCCCAGCACCCATATGGTGGCTCACAACCATCTGTAATGAGATCTGGCTCCCTCTTCTGGCCTGCAGGGATACATGCAAACAGAACACTGTATACATAATAAATAAATAAATCTTAAAAAAACAAAAAAAGAATTAGGTGTTTAAAAAAAAAAGAGTTGAGGCCTCATTAGTGGGGAATGGCGGAGGGTGATGTTCGGCAAAGAGGGCCAACTATAGCCTTTAAGGCCGTGGTTGGGGGTTCTCCCACCTCCAAGGATGCCAGTGGGTGCAAAAATCTCAACAGTCACTCCCATGAATCCAGGAAAGTGTTTACACCGACTGGGAGAAGGGGAAACTAATCCAGTTGATGTTGGATGGAGAGCCCTGAGGTCAGTTAATTCGAAAAGTGAGGTTGCCGTAGGTGGACCGGGCCCAGGATCCTCGCGTGCCTGGGACTGCCAGCAGAGCCTGCCGAGTCTCGTGGCACCAATGTTGTAAATGTTTATGGCGGGAGATAAAGTCACACCATACAACAAAATGGGAGGTTTTTGGGGAAAGGGATGAGGAAGGGTGTTGGTTTTATGCAGCGCTGTTTACCCTGTGAGGAAAAGTCCCAAGACACAACAAAACCCACTATGAGAGTTTATTAGAAGGGAGGGACAGGAAGGGATGTGATCAGGCCTGTTGGAGAGACATGTGAGGAGAGAGGGGAGGATACATGGGATCTGTCTTTTATGGACTACCCGCCCCCCATGCGCATATGGGCCCACGTGGCTACGCCACGCATGTCCATAGAGATTACGTGATCACGCTGGGAACAAATTACGTGACATGCAGCGCACTGATTACTAGGACATACGGCCGGAAACGACTAGGCTGAAATGACTAAGTGTCTCGCCAGGGCCAGGGCATGCGCAGTCATGGAGGCGTGGCTAGAATTCCTATCAAAGGGTGCAGAGACCGGCCTAGAGGGAGAAGTGGCGGGTAAGGGACAGGAGGTGGTCGCCAGTCTTTATAAGGGGACAGAGCTCATGTGCACAGAGACTATGTAGCGAGATAGCAGACAACGTATTCTGAGGACCTTGAGCTGACCACTGTGCCTGCCCGAATACTGACAAGTCCTACGCACAGCGGGTGTTCTTAGTGGCTGCAGCTGAGGACCCTAAGCGGGCCAGCATGATGCCTAAATGGCAACACTGGGTGATACAGGATGGCCTGGAAGTCAGTATCTTAATGCCTCTGCATTCAGGGATTACATGCCCAGTTGGACACCTCCCCATCTAATTTATTAGTTAAGTAGTTTGCATACAGTGTGTTAGGGTTCATTATGGTATTTCAAACCTAATTTGTTTTTCGTGATTCTCATCTCTAGCATCATCTCTATGACCACTTTTGCCCTTTTCCCCCCTCTCAGCCCTGGCCTCTGTTCTGCTTTCATGGCCTCTCTCTAATATCTTGTGTTTGACCCTACTGAAATCCTAGAATATATGCTTTGTGTCACATGTCATTAGTGTTGATTTGCAGCAATTCATTTACATATATGTATGTGTATGTATATCAGTCATTGTAGATATCATGAATCTCTAATCTGAATTCTAATTTGATCCATGGTCTCTTCATATACAGAAATTATGCATATTTATTTCTTCTTTATTTGTTCTTGCATTTTCTACTCTTAGACATTTAGACATCCTTACTGGTAGGTCATGAAGATATTGCTTCCCAGCCAGGTGGTGGTGGCGCACGCCTTTAATCCCAGCACTCAGGAGACAGAGCCAGGCAGATCTCTGTGAGTTTGATGCCAGCCTGGGCTACAGAGTGAGTTCCAGGAAAGGTGCAAAGCTACACAGAGAAACCCTGTCTTGAAAAACAAAACAAAATAAAAAAACAAAAAAAAAACCCAAACAAACAAAACAAAACAAAAACCAAGAAGATATTGCTTCCCTTTTCCCTATCTGGGAAGGGGTTGGTCCAATGAAGACTTGATAAGTTGGTAGAACTGCATTTCTTTTCTGTTCTGTGCACACCAGTACTACCAGTTTAAAGGAATGTGTTGTATACCTCCAAATCACCAGAAGAAAGGATTTTGAATATTCTCACCACAAGGAAATGACAAATCTTTGAAGTGACAGATAACGCTAATTACATTTTGTTTTGTTTTGTTTTGTTTTTTTGTTTTTCGAGACAGGGTTTCTTTGTGTCTTAGTTGTGCTGGAACTCTGTAGCCCAGGCTGGCCTCAAACTCACAGAGATCCTGCCTCTGCCTCCCGAGTGCTGGGATTAAAGGAGTGCGCCACCACCGCCTGGCAACACTAATTAACTTTAAAGGTTTCGTGTTTTAGAATTTGGGAGAGACAAGCTTTTTGGAGACAGCTTCTCATGAAGGTCTTGGTGGCTTCCAACCTGCTGTATGACTGAGGCTATCCTTGATTATTCTAACCCTTCAGCCTCCACCTCCTCAGAGCTGCAGTTCCACACTTTGTTGATTTAACACTTTTTGTTTGCTAATTGCTGATTTGTTTTTTAAAAACCCTTCCTTTAATCTACCTACCCACTTCCCAGCAGTGTGTGCAGTCTTCAGCAGATAACCGTATTTTCAGGCATCCATGTGCCCACCTACTCTGGATTTCACATGTCTCTTTTCATGTTCTTGTTGAAACATGTTTTCATGTCCTTGTTCGTGTGCAGTAACATCGTTTTAAAAAGTTAGTCTCATTTTTACTACTACAGTTTTGTAATAGATGTTAGTAAATGATAGGTGGGCTCCTTTTAAAAAAAATGGATACAGAGTCACACTCTATAGCCCTAGCTGTCCTGCAACTTATTATGTAGATCAGGGTGGCCTTCAACTCAGAAATCCACCTGCCTCTGGTGTTGCTAGAGTTTTCCTGCCTGGCCCACAGTCAGGACAAATCTCTCTCACCCGCCAGTCCCAAGCCGCTTAAACCCGATCAAATAAACACAGAGACTTGTATTGGTTACAAACTGTATGGCCGTGGCAGGCTTCTTGCTAACTGTTCTTACAGCTTAAATTAATCCATTTCTATTAATCTATACCTTGCCACGTGGCTTGTGGCTTACCGGTACTTTACATCTTCCTTATCCTGATAGCGGCTGGCTGTGTCTCCCTGACTCAGCCTTCCACTTCCCAGCTCTATTCTCCTCCTTGTCCCGCCTACACTTCCTGCCTAGCCAATGGCCAATCAGTGATTTATTTATTGACCAATCAGCAACACATTTGACATACAGACCATCCCACAGCACTCTGGCTCCCTCTTTTATTTTTAGATGGACTTATCTTTGTAAACTTGAACTCTTCCTGTTAGAATAAGGTTTTTGGATGAGGACACAGTTCAGTTTTGGATACTTGCCTAGTGTGCAAATTCTTGATGCCCAGTGCTGGCAAAGAAGGATTGCCATGTACAATAAAAACATAATAAATAAACAAAGGACAAAACGTCAAAGTAGGGAGGTGTTCCTCAGGAAGGGGAAGAGGACAAAAGAGGGTGGTGGAGGGTGAACATCATCAGAATACTTACACTTCTTTAAAAATAGCAACAAATAAAAAAATTCTAAAAAGAAACCAACTCTGGCAAGAGTTTGATTGGATGATATTGAAAATGTTGATTATTTAGAAAACCTGACACATTTATAATAATAGATCACTCTAGCCTTGAATATGGAAGGCATCTATGCATTCAAAACATCTTACAGTATGTCCTAGGGCTCTATTGCTGTGAAGAGAAACCGTGACCAAGGCAACATACAGAAGAAAGTATTTAACTGGGCTTGCTTACAGCTTCAGAGGGCTAGTCCATTACCATTATGGTGGGAAGTGTGTCGGCGGGCAGGTGGGCATGGTGCTGGAGAAGTAGCTGAGAGCAGCAGGCAGAGAGAGAAAGAGAGAGGGAGAGAGAGAGAGAGAGAGAGAGAGAGAGAGAGAGAGAGAGAGAGAGAGAGGCCTGACATGGGCTTTTGAAACCTCTGAGCCCACCCTCAGTGACACACCTCCTTCAACAAGGCCACACCTCCTAATGCTTCCCAAACAGTTCACCAACTGGAGACTAAGCATGCAAATATATGAGCCTCTGGGGACCGTTCTCATTCAATCCACCACACAGCACCTAAGGACACTTTTCTTTTAAAAAAATTTAAATTACGTTTATTTATTTAATTATTTGTGTGTGTGTGTGTGTGTGTGTGTGTGTGTGTGTGTGTGTGTGTGTGTATGCTCCCACATGTGGTGGACAGGTAGGCTACAGTCAGTTCTCTTTTCCCACCATATGTGTTCTGGGGGTTGACCTTTTGTAATCAAGTTTGGCGGCAGGTGCCTTTATCATCTGACCTGTCTGACCAGCCGAGAAATATGTATTTCTGCTTTTGTTATTTCATGACATAATTTTTTTAATATGCATCATTTCCTGAAGCCTAGACTGGCCTTTAACTCTTGATCCTTTTGCCTCCACTTTCTGAGGCTGAGTACCACCTCACCCAGGTCAGGTGAATACATTTTTTAAAACTTTTTCACTTTGAATGTATGCAAGCATTTAAGGATATCTCTTGAGGGGTGTGTTTCCTTAAAAACATTTCCAATACCAGGTCAAGCTTTCTTCTGGTATTTTTTTCCATTCTTGGTAGCTGACCTCTGTAATCTCAGAAATTGGAAGGTAGAGGTAGGAGGATCAGGAGTTCAAGGTCATTCTCCATTGTTTGAGACTTTCTTTAATAAACAGTCAAAAAACAAGCAAACATCTTTGATTCATCTGGAGTGCGAGTGTTTAAAGGAGGTGATTAGTACCCCTGGATGGTAGTGAGGCTGATGGGGCTCTGTTTTTGCTCCTGGATAATTGTGTTGGTTCCTTAGGGAGGACCTGGCTCAGCTGCCCTTCCTGACCATGTGCATCAAGGAGAGTCTGCGGCTGCATCCTCCCGGTACAGACCTGGTCCGGGGCTGCATCCAGGACATCGTGTTGCCTGATGGTCGAGTCGTCCCCAAAGGTGCCCACACAAGTTGGGAGGAGGCCCCTGGGTAGGATGACGGTCCTTAGAGGTAGGCGGACCTGGTACTGACTGTCTTCTTCTACCTAAAAGGCAGCGCATGTGTCATCAGCATTTTCGGAGTTCATCACAACCCTTCAGTCTGGCCAGACCCTGAGGTGAGGCTCCTCCCTTTATCTCCAGGACTTGGAAAAAGGGCAGGGTACTACCTGAAACCCAGAGGCTGTCATTCTCCTGTCCCCATATCCATCTTTTCTGGGGCTGGCTGGGTGTGCAGAGAGACACGACCCATCAGCTTAGTCTTGCTTGGCCCGCAGGTCTATGACCCCTTCCGCTTTGACCCAGAAAACCCTCAGAAGAGGTCACCGCTGGCTTTTATTCCCTTCTCTGCCGGGCCCAGGTGAGGCTAGAGCGCTGGGGTGAAGGGGTGGGATCGGAGCATGATGGGGTGGGGTGGGGGCGGGGGCCCGGGATGGTCGGATTCTGGGTTTCCTTCCCGCCCTCAGCACAGGGTATGCTAAAGGTCACCAGAGACTGGGGTTGGAAGGTGAAGGGTGGCTGCTTCGTGCTCAGAGCCCCATCCACCCTGGTCTGCATTGGGCGCTGAGACTGAGCCAGGTTCCTGGGATGCGGATGCACAAGCAGGGTCCCGGGCGTGTCATTGTCCCTCCTGTCCCTCATGCTGACCAGGCGCGGTGGGGACCCGGGCACAGTCAGAGTCCCCACCCCGCCCTCCCGCAGGAACTGCATAGGACAGACTTTCGCCATGAGCGAGATGAAGGTGGCGCTGGCGCTCACCCTGCTGCGCTTCAGCCTCCTGCCCGACGACGAGGAGCCGCGTCGGAAGCCGGAGCTGATCCTGCGCGCAGAGGGCGGGCTGTGGCTGCGGGTGGAGCCGCTGAGCGAGGGCGTGCAGAGACCCCCACACCTAGCCTAGGACCTCCTCACCCACCCACCTGCCTTTGCGGATCCCTGAATAATCAGTCTCACTGAGTGCCAGCAGTGGGTCCGGAGGAAAACAGATCCTGTTGGTGTGTTGGGGGAGAGGCTGGGTAGGTGTCTCTGATCCAGATTCCCACTGCCTTTGTTCACCATTGACCTTCTAGGGTGATGAGAGTTCTTCTCGAGCTTAAGTAAGGGGTTTTATTAAAAATAATTTTTATTGCCGGACGGTGGTGGCGCACGCCTTTAATCCCAGCACTCGGGAGGCAGAGCCAGGAGGATCTCTGTGAGTTCGAGGCCAGCCTGGACTACCAAGTGAGTTCCAGGAAAAGGCGCAAAGCTACACAGAGAAACCCTGTCTCGAAAAACCAAAAAAAAAAAAAAAATAATTTTTATTTACTCTGACAATTCCGTACGTGTTTATAATGCATTTTGATCACATTCACCTCCATTTCTCTCTCTTACCCTTATCTTGTTCTCCCTCTCCCCAACCCTTCCCAGCCCATACTTTCCTATCATGCCTGGTAGCACCAAACCTGCAACACCAGCACTCAGGAGATAGAAACCAGAGGATCTGAAGCTAAAGCCGTCATCTACTTTCATATACATATCTAAAAAATAAAAACACATACATGTAAAACATATATATAACACACACACATATACGTACATGCATACACACACAGAAAAGAGAGAGAGAGGGAGAGAGAGAGAGAGAGAGAGAGAGAGAGAGAGAGAGAGAGAGAGAGAGAGAGAGAGACTCCATGTAGTCCTGGCTGTTCTAGACCAGGCTGGCCCCAAACTCAGAGATCCCCTGCCTCTGCCTCCTGAGTGCTGGGAGTGAAGGTGTGGGCCACCTGGTGACCACCTTGTTCCCGATCTTGTTCTTCTCCTCCTCCTCCTTCTCCTGGCTCTGGCTCTGCTCTTCTCTCTTCTTCATTTTACCCTCCATCCTCCTTCTTTCTCACTGAGTTTAATTAGAGTTGTTTGCATGCATGCATCGTGTGCAGCTTGCTAGTGGCTACACTCCTGAAGAAGAATGATAGCCACCCCTCAGTAACCATCAAGTGTCAGCTGCTCCAAAGTGAGGAGTGGGACCTCGGGTGCCAGGATACAATGATGTTTGCAAGCTATACTGGGTACACAAGATTAATGTCTAAAGCCAATAGTCCTGTCAAGCTTCCATGTTCCCTTGACTTCTAAGGGAACACACGGAGAAACACAAAGCAGCCTGAATGCTTCACTGCCCGAGGGAGTGCATCAGTCTCTCAGGGACTGGAAGGAACATTGTGCCCCAGGAGCTATGGACTCGAACCCCAAAAACATATGACCCATGCCTCTCATGGCAGTTAAGCCAGGCCAACTCCATGGTTCCCTGTAATTCATCCTTAGTGATTCTCCTGCCTCAGCATGATAATAGCAGTGGGCCATTACATTAGGTCTCTCATGTCATCTCTAAAGGAATATTTGTAGAATTGAAGGACAGTTTCTCAGGAGACAGGAGTCTTGGAGCCCTTGAGGACGATGCTAAATTGTGCTCATCACTTGTGATCGCCAAGGTCACTAAGGCAGCTTAGGTCTAAAATGAGATCACACCAGCAGTCTCAGCCACTTCCTTCTCCCTAGTGATGTAGTCCACTGAAGTTCCCACCCATGCAGGGGGATCTTATACATTTCCCTTCCCTGTCATTTCTGGCTTTTATTAGTCCCTTCTCATCATAAGATTATTAAAACAGAAATTTAGACATAGTAGCACACGCCTGTACTCTTGGCACTGGGATAAGGATGCAGGAAGATCAAGCCAAGGTCAATTTCAGCTATATAATGAGTTACAGCTATATAATGAATACTTGAAAGTGAGTCTCAAAAAATGAATAAATAAAAATAGTTTCTCATTTTCCTGTCTTGATAAGTGGCTCTAAAACCGGAGCGCAGCATACGCTTATTTTTGTTAGTTTTCTCTACTCCTTTAGATAGATCCGTATGTCTGTGAGTATATACACACCCGTGTGTGTGCTGGGGAATGCACCTGTGTGCACAGAGGCAGAAGAGTGTGTCTTGTGTCCTTTATGACTCTCTGCCAAGCCCTTTGAGGCAGATTCTCTCTGAACCTAGGGCTCCCATTTTCTTGGCTAAGTTAGAAACCACTGAGCCCCAGCATCCTCTTGTGTCTGCTCCCCTCAGAGCTGGGATTACAGGCATGTGTTCGATGCTTAGCTTTTTATGTGGTGCTGGGATCCAAATTCTGTTCCTCGTGATTGTGTAACAAGTACTCTTAACTGCTGATTCATCTAACAGTCCCTATGCTCTCAACTAAATACTGTCTCTGGAATTACTTTGTCAGTTTTGGTTTGGAGTCCAGGGCCTGTCACATGCGGCACGTGCCCTCTCAAATTAAGTTTCACGCTCCGCTGACTCCATATTATGACTCTCTTTTCATGTCACTTCCTCACTGAAGGAACTGGAAAAGATTTCAGGTTTGAGAGTTGTAAAACAGCTGGAAATGTAACTCAAATGACTTAGTTTTGTTGACTGGAGCACTGAGTCTCAGTTGAAATTCCAAATTGGCACAATCCAGTCCTGACTCCACTAAATATGTTGGAGTGACTATTACCTTTGATTTTATAATTTTCAGATCACACTAACCCACAACAGTACTCGAGGGGAGTATAGATGCCACCCAAAGAACTTTGCGCAAAATAGAGGAGACAGGTGAAATTTGGGTTAGACTCACTTGGACACATTGTGTGTCTCGTGTGCGTGCGTGTGTGTGTGCGTGTGTGTGTGTGTGTGTGTGTGTGTGTGTGTGTGTGTGTGTGTGTGTATTGTTCCTCAGTGGAGATAGCAAGGGAGGCTGGAAGAGGGTGTCAGTGCCTTTGGATTTGGAGCTTCAGGTGGTAGTAAGATGCCTGACATGGTATTGGGAAGCAACTCATGTCCCTTGAAAGAGCAGCAAGCACTCTTGGCTGCTGAGCCAGGTATCCGGCTCTGGTTATGATTGTTTTATTCTTTGTGTGGGGGGTTGTGGACATGTGTGGAGAGCAGAGGTCAACTTTCAGATGTTGGTCCTGGCCCATAAACTTTCATTTTTATCTCACAGTGCAAAAATCATTTACTCGAGGAAATGTTAGTCTGTTAATGGACTCAAGGTGCCCTCTCAACTGTGAAACCATAGAAAATAAAATAAAACAACCAAGTTACATATTTCCAATATCCAATGGTATGGAATAAATACCCAGGCATATGGGAGTAATACAGAAAAATAATTCACACAAGTTGAGTCTAACACCAGCAAGGGAAACAAATAAATAAACAAGCAAAACCAAACAAAAAAAATCCTGCCACTCCATGTCCAGCATCTGGGGCTCCTGATGGGATCATCTCTGCTCCGGCAGCTTGTGGGCTGCCTTGCCCCTGCAGCTCTGCTGCAGACAGCCAACGGTCTCTTTCATGAACCAACTCCACCCTGTGCTTAAAGCTCTTTGCATCTGCACCCTTCTAGGGTCTCCACACCGCTCTCACGCCTCTCACGCTCTGAAGGCCAGGACCGCAGGATGATGCTGCCAAGTTCTATTGCCAGGTTGAGATGTAGCCTGGCTCCCCTGGGCCGGAGCTCCAATGGCCTCTGTGTGCCTTTAAAGTTGATCCTGGGAAAACAGCTCTCTAGGTAACCACTTTGCAGGAGTCACGGTGGGGGCGGGGGAGGAACATCGGAGAACTGGGAGGTCAGTGAGATTCTCAAATAATCAATAAAAATATTATGTTTATAAAAAAAAACTAGAGCAGAGGTTCAGCTGTCCATGGCATTAAAAAAAGAAGACAGTCGTTGTTAAAATGGCTGTTCTCCAGCCCAGTTCCCAAGAAGATTCTACTTCCCTCGGAATCCTTATGAACACGGCCTTCACTGTCGCTGTTTCTCTCAAGATTGTAGTGCTCTGAACACTGATCAGAATGTCTCATCCAGATCTGCTGACAGGAATTTAGGATTTTATATCACAGAGGACCAAACTCTTCCACATTCCTTCAGCAAATCAGCCAACTTCCTCCTCACCACACGGCCAGGTCATCACACCAGTGACCTCACCTCCCTTATACAAACTTTCTGAATTGAAGCGACACTCAAACATGTGACTCTGCAGGCCATTCCCTCTGCCTTGCTAAAAACCATTAGATTACATTCCTAAAGCCAGCCACCAAGGTCCACTTCTTCCTGAAGCTGACTCCCAAAGACCAGCAATCAGAAGCCCCCTTAGGCTCACCTAATTAAACATGCCCAAGTAAAATTAAACACCTCACCCTATCATGGGGTTTCCCCCTTTACCTTTATAAACTCATCTGTCTCCTCTCTGTCCAGAGGCAGTCTGTTGTCCCTCTGGGACAAACACCCCCTCCCCATTTCCCTTGTCCCCTCCCCCGTCTCCCTTATCCTCTATCTCCTGTACCCACAACCTAGCCCATCCTAACACAGACCTCCCCTTCTCCTCTTAAAAATCTCACCTGCGGGCTAGAGAGATGGCTCAGTGGTTAAGAGCACTGACTGCTCTTCCAGAGGTCCTGAGTTCAATTCCCAGCAACCACATGGTGGCTCACAACCACTTGCAATTAGATCTGGTACCTTCTTCTGGCCTGCAAGGACACATGCAGGCAGAGAACTGTATACATAATAAATAAATAAACCTTTAAAAAAAAATCTCACCTGCAAGGTCATTTGCTGCCGTTTTTCTGCCTGAGTCAGAAAGCAATCATTTTAACTTTTCTTCCCTGCTTAACAAAGGATCTCCGTGAAAACAGGTGTTTGGCTGTGGTTTGTGCCTAATTTAGGGCTCGGGAGGGAGCCCCTGCTGTGTGCAGGTCCCCTGCATGCATTAGTTACCTGTCCCTTCTCAGTGATGAAATAACGGAAAAAGTAAGCTAAGAAAGGAAAGGATTCCTCTGGCTCACAGGTGAAGGGTCCAGTCCATTCTGGTGGGAAAGTCGTGGTGACAAGAGCATGCAGCGGCTGGTCACATGATATCTTAAGTCAGGAAGCAAAGAGATTGTGTGTGGTATTCGGCTCATTTCCTTGTTTTTATTTAGCCAGGAGAGACAGCCCTGGTGATGAAGTTGTCCACATTCAGGGTGGGTCTTTGCTCTTGGTTCAGCCTTTCAGAATGACTCTCATGGGCACCCCCAGAAATCTGCTTCCATGGTATTCTAGATACAGCCAAGATGACAGTGATGAT